TTTCATTTGTGCCTGAGTTTGTAATGAAATAAATCACCTGAGCTTATGTACCAGTTTCCACATTTGAAAAAATAGTAACGGGGAGTTATTCAAGACAACCCCGAAGAAGCCATTGTATGGCGAAATACGTGTTGGGTTTTTGTAGAACTGCTTTGTGAAAATCTCACAATGAAGTGTTTTTTGAATATGTAGGTTATGGAGTTTGATGTGAATTATTTTTTAAACATAGCCTGAAACTAATTGATTCATTGAATTTCCAAATATATTGAATTGACATTATATTTTTAAGCGCAACCTACGAAATTGTCAAGTTTAAAATGAAAGGGTCCATTCGACCCTCCACTGCAACTCGAGAGGGTTTACCATGACTCAAACCTATCGAACACGATTTGGTGAGTGATCTTTCCGATCACCTGGTAGAGACAATAGTTTTCTGATGAATAATAATTTCCGGTAAGGTTGAAAGACCCTGGTACATCTTTCTCAATCTTGTGAAGACCTTATCGGCAATAATTCTGCGACAATCTTTTTCAGATAGTTGAATAAGACCAGTGTGTCTCCTACGACGCTTTTTAGGGAGGCGCTCTCCCATGGCTTACTGCGGCTACAGGAATCCTGTATCCATTGATGTGGGAATGTGCAGCTCTGGAATCGTACCACAATGAGGTTTTTGTTCAAGAGTTGGAGGAATGAGACGCTTCTGCTTTCAAAGTAATGAAACAGGAAAGTCAGTTGGAGTAGTTTGGTCATCCTCCATTTCCTCTGTAAACTCAATCCAAAAACTGGAGAACTGATGAGCTCTTTCTCTCGATCGTCCCTTGGTGCAGAGCGAGGAATTTAAGTGAAATCTTTCCTCATACGTAATTTGATGGGATTGAAATGCATAGTGCACATTTTATAAAATATAAGAACTGTTGGTTCAAGACATCTTCTTAGCTGAATATTATTCAAACATTTACATTTCTGAAAAATTAAATTATCTCGCTGTAATTCAAAAACCTTTACAAATCATAGCTAAAATAATGGAAAACTTAATAACTGACTATTATTCTTTTTTGAAGATAATCCTGCAAGCATTAGAGGAACCAGACGTTAAATTACCTCTTCTCCCCAGCCTCAAAAATCAAATACCAGAAAATCTCATATTATGTTATTCTGTCAATTCTTTGAACAGAAAATATAATTTTGATTCCGAATACTCAAAATACTTTTCAGTTCTTACTTTTACGTATTTGCGTTACGAAATGAACCTATTATGATGAAGCTTAAGTCTGAGTTAATTTTTTGAGTTAAGAGAACTAAATCCGAGCTGGTATGACCGTGATCGAATGGACGTTTCGTCTATTACTGCGGCAGACATCAGTAGAACGTGCGTTGATTGTGAGGACGGAAATTATATCTCGAAGTCGGTTATTCCAATTTCCATTGATGACGGCTACCGCAATAACAGACGAAACTTCTGATTATGATTAAAAATGTATGTGTTCTTCTTCACTGTTCTAGTTCTAATTGAACGGTGACAGAAATAGTTTACTTTTCAGGGAGATCAAAGCTATTGACAGAAGCATATTTCTGAATATCTATGTACTCGTAGGTACACCGATAAAAACGTTCTAAAGAAGTATGAGTTACGTTCATTTTGCGTATTTTTCTGGGATTCATTAATATTGTAAATTATTAAATTTGAGGGTCTACTTTGCCTATCCAGCATTTCAGATATCACTTCTTCCATGTCTGGTAGATATCTTACATACACTAGTTGCATTTGATATTTGGTAATTGTTTTCATTATTTGCGAGTTTTTCTTCATTATTTGCCAGTTTTTTAACAAGTTCTTTCAGTTCTGATACTTCCTTGATTAGGGCTGGTACTTTATACAAACCATACTCACAATGTTCACAAAAAAAATTCAGTTTTCTCCTGGTTTTCAACTGCATACATTTTATTTAGGATACTGTTAAGTGAACCATTGTTGCTATTATTTTTCAACTCGCCACCTTCACAACTCATAATTGGTTGCGAGTAAGAAGTTATTGAAGTTTTTGTACCACAATGAATATGTTCACTACTCCCAAGCAACAGTTTAACAGCTATAAGTTTGCGGAAATTGAGTCACATTTTTGTTTGTCATTAGTATACATAGTATACAATTACTTCTGTACTATAACTACTAGTTGAATGAGCTTTTGTGAAAATCACTAATATTTTATAATTAGAGTCGGGTTTGTTATTTCCCGCCACAAAAATTCAGTTCAGGTCATTTTTATTGGATACAATACATTGTAGTAGTTTTCAGTTCTGGATATATCACGTTTGAAGTGAAATATGAAAGTGTTGAAAGAAGGAAGTTTTATTCTACATGCAGTGATTCAAAAATGAGTAAAAGCATCGTTTATTGACAAATAGTATGATATGTTTTGTATTATTATTTTTTTCCTAACTCACTTATAACAGTTTCAACTGAATAAAACTACGTGCCGAAATCTGTTGTTTCATTCAAGATGACCAGGTACATTACGGCGATTTCATGAAATACCTAATAAATGGATATATTTTCATTATTACACTACTAACCAAGAGTTTAGAGGCAGTTTCTATATGATTCAAAAATTGAGATGTGCTATAATGTTCAAATGATTTTGGGTTTTCAATGTGTGTATTTTATTCAGAATTCGCTAATTCTAAGTAATTATATTTTTTTCAGGCACCAGACTAAAGGAAAATATAAGCACCATCAGGCTAAGTTTTCAACTTTTCGATTTTTTTTATATTTACATGTACCTGAAATCAATTTATTACATTTTGACCATTATAATATCTCCCACAAGGACAATTTTGAGACATCGATATCGATTTATTTCATTTCCTTTAAGATTGAAAGGATGACATTTAATTTTGAGATGTAAAAAATCAGTCCATCATTCTTCATAAAAACGGTTATTCATTTATACGTAACTATTAGTTGTAGAAAGGTTTATGTTTGTTTCTGCAGTCTTCCTAATAAAATATTCTCTTCTGCTTGTCGAACGTTCTAACAATATTTCTTTCAATTTTCTATTTTCCAAACTCAAAAGTAAAAGAAAATAGTTTTATGTACGAACATGGTGCATTATAAATATTGAAAACTACCACAGAAATACTTATGCAAAATAAATAAGTTTCGTGATACTGCTCAGTATTTAAATCGTGCCCAGGAAATTGATTTTCATACTTTGAAATCGAAAAGTAAACATTGAATGATATATACTATAGAATATTCTACAAGCTTGGAACTAATTGAGGTAAGAACTGTGTTCAGGTTTCATAACTATACCGAGTTTATCAACGACAAATGCATCTTTTATTAAATCCAACAGCATTATATAACTTAGACTAATAGTGTGTACGTAATAGTAATAAAGAGCTAGAGTTATTACCAGTAAGTGTTCACTGTGAGCACCTGATGGTAACAGTTGAACTGTGTCAGGGTTTTTTTATTTGTAGTAAGTGAACTGTGCCCCAGTCATGTCAGTCTAGTTCACAAGATGAAAATGGTGAAAAAAATGGTGGAAATAATCTCAAAGTGCATTAATGAAAAAACTAGGTAATTATCAATTAACAATTTTTACTTGATCTCTTCATTGAAGACCACAAAAAATGTATGAATAATTTTTCAAAAAAAAAGTTCGCTTCGTAGACCTTTTTTATCAGTGTACTTAATGAAATCACGTTATAAAGTTTTAAAACAAAATATTATTTTGTTTATTATACTTTGTATACAGTAAGTAACAAAAAATTAATACATGACGTATTATTGTTATAAACATTTTTTTAAATTTATTTATTATCATAGTCCCGTTTTTGTATTACGTTGTATTCACTTTGAGATTTTTTCCAACGACAACCAATTCTGAATAGTTGAAAAAAATGTTTTTTGTGACGGCGTTAAATTAAAATTATAAATGATAGAAACAGAGTTTCAAGAGGTGGCACTTTTTTGGAAATGTCCTTCCCTTCTTAATTCTTTGTAGTTTTTGAAATATTTGCAAAACCTATATACCTTTTTTTATATCTCAATTTGTTTATGATTTTTGCATTTTTTTATGTGCTAAAAATCGGTTTTAGCACATTTTTCTAGATATCATACCGGATCGAATGAGCCATTGCACGTATTTTTCCGACTAATATCTATGTTTTTTACCATTTTCAACGTATGAACCAGTCTACGTGTGTAGATGAATTTTTTGATCACTCTTAAAATTTTAATAGTGGTTATTGAAGCTTTTTCTCAGTGTTTAATTTTTTTCATTAGCAAACGCTTACAGGCTCATTCAATTTACCTACCTACTTTTCTTCTGAGAGTCAAGAAAATTAATGAGAGTGAATAGAAAAAAAAAACATCTGGTAAAAATTCTGAAAACTTATCTCCGAAGTTTCATGATTTGCACCGAAAAGTAACATAAAAAACATAAATGTTTTTATCAGTATGCTTCTAAGTTGTTACCATGAAGAAACGCCAGAAAGAATGAAATTTCATCCCAATGTTTTTATTAGCTCAACAGTGGTAAATAGGGAAAGGGTGATTTTTCATATGTTGAAACATCAAATAAGGCTTCGGATTATGGCTAGGTGTTCTATAAATTCGATTAGTTAAAGCACTTGCTTTGATTATAGGACATGCCAAGTCATATCTATAAAATTGTATTTTCAAGTCTCGTGTTTTGATATCTACTGACTACAGAAACACGCATCTATACTGCGTAGACTCAGCTCAGCAGAAAAGACGTCGAAATGTGCGTGGGGAAGCGAAGCGCGAATGTTATCGAATTTGAATATCGAGTTCAAACTTCATATTATCGCTCATTTTTCTATGCCTTGTCCATAACAACCGACTGATTCATAAGCTTTGCGTGCATCGAGTGAAAGGGTCACGCGATCTACGTCGATCTAGTTTTTCTGTAGTGGCATATGTAAAAAGTAAATAGAAAAACGAGGATTTCGGGCATTGACAGGGTTCTTACCTGTTTTGCCGTGAATGCCCAGATGACACAAATGAACATGCAAAACAAACAAACACGGATTGAATCGCGTTAAAAGAAATAGGAACAAGACCACAGAGCAAAACGGACTGTACGATTAGAAGAGACAAGCTCACTATTTTGTTGTGGATCAAATTCGTTTCTCTCCTCTCATCTCCACGCTCTCTCTTTCAAGTTTTCACCATCCTCTCTCTCTTCCATCCACTTCTACGTAGCATAGATGAGCTGCCGGAGCAGACCTGACGCCACGAAGCCATGAAGCTTGTCCCGTTGTTCATCTAGCCGCAAAAGCTTCCGATCCTATTGGTGTTCATGCCGGCGTTACTGCGCAGTGTGCCAGTGAGTGTCAACTAGACGTCACGTCTGTTTCGTCAAGTATGCCCCGTACACTCATCCGGCTGCAAAATCTCATCGATGAAGCCTATCGCTTTTAGTTCAACGCCACCGTACGAAGTATAAACACTGTCATCTTCTGAAAAGCAAAATACAAGTGAATATATATTGTGATATTTAGTTTTAGTGTGCCAAAATAGGTAATTATAGAAGCTCATCCCATATTTCAATTACTTCTTTTGCGCGGAACACTGATAGTCGAAAGCCTTTTTCAAATGCTTTTTGTGGACTGGTCCCACCCGAGCTTTTTTGCCATGTTGTTTTTTCATGACCTTTTAAATCTCATGTGGCGTAATTGTTGAAGTACAAGATTCGGATAAGTATATATTGGATTTTAAGTGTACCTCGTAGGGATGTTCAAAATACGAATTTTCCTGATGACGCCTCGCCATTTTCCATATTAGCGGCCATTATTGGTTGCCAAGCTAGCACCGCTTTCCTTTCCCCCACTCTTGCTTACGTGGCTGCTGTCAGGCAATTACGCTTGCGTGTTGTAGTGAAAGGCGAAGAAGTTATACTGCCATCTTTCGGCCTCTTATTTTGTTCAACAGTTCATCTAAATTTTGTTTCCGCATTCACAAACACATATAGCTTCATGGAGTTTTTTTTTAATTAGTATATTATGCACTGTACAACTTATAAGAATAAAATATTTTATTACAGTTAACAATGGATGACGACCAGCAGTTCTGCTTAAGGTGGAACAACCATCAGTCAACCCTAGTAGCTGTTTTTGAAACGCTATTGGCAAATGGTATCTTAGTGGACTGCACATTGGCAGCAGAAGGAAAACATCTAAACGCACACAAAGTAGTTTTATCAGCATGTAGTCCATATTTTGAGGTAAGGATTCTTTATGTGATTGTGCTAATTATTCTAACAGATTAATTTATTTTTGTGGTACTGCCCACGTCAACGAAATTGAATCTGAAGAATTGGAACAGGTTTGATAATTTGTTCATTCCGTTAATGAAACCAAGCTGTGTTGTGATACTGCTCACTACAATTGAAAATATGAATTGTGATACAGCTCACAATATCACGAATGTTTTTTTCTTTTTAAATTCTCAAATATCTAAATGCTTATATTTTAATAGAACGCTGGTACATTGAAAATGTACGGAATTTTAAAAGTCTGCAGTGTTCTTTTGTAATATATCTATAACTGTTTTTATTTACTTCTGTATCAAAATATTTCAACCAAATGATGGATTGAGTTTTTTTATTAAGGAAAGCTTTTATGAACATGTATCAGAATAAGTAGGTGTTATGTTCGTGTTCATGCCCAATTTCAACATATCTAGTAAATGTTGATTTGAAATTTTTATATACACAGTATCATGTGAAAAAGAATCTGGGACTTGCCAACAAAATTTTCTGTCTTTCATTTTTTATTTAAAAATTTGCTGTTTTGCCTGAAGCCCCCGATTTTAAAAGTGGTTATCTATATGATCCAGATAACATTGAAACTATTAGAAGTTTTCAATGTTAATTATACCCTATTGTTGGCGTACCTAGTGCATGTGGTGGTACTGACCATTACTTTTTTTTTTAATAGCGAAGTGAATTTTGCATATGATCCAGTTCACATTGAAAGTATTGGAGTTTTTTGTCATTACTTTTGGTACCCTATTGTCGCAACATTGTTGATGCATGTGATGGTACTGTCCATTACTTTTTTTTATATAAGTGATTATGCATGTGATCCAATTCACATTGAAATTTTTGAAAATTTTTGTCATTACTTTTGGTACCCTATTGTCAACATTGTTGATGCATGTGATGGTACTGTCCATTACTTACTTATATAAGTGATGATCCATGTGATCCAGTTCAAATTGAAATTATTGAAATTTTTTGTCATTACCTTTGGTACCTATTGGCAACATTGTTGATGCATGTGATACAGTTCACATTGAAAGTATTGAAGTTTTTTTGAGTCATTACATGTGGTGGTACTGTCCACTACTTCATATAGCATCAACTACCAAAAGGCTACCTGAGAATCTGATCTGAAATTTTGAATGATGCACAGTTCAAATTCGCTCCCTACAGTAATATAAAAATTGATTTGCAGTTCAGATCTACAAGCTGAAAACTAAGAATTATACATAAGACAGGCTTGTTTATGAACATTTATTACTACTAGGTATTTTCCTGATTTGCGTTTTCTCTCGAGTATTATTTATGCTGTCTAAGAATAACCAATAAGACATCTCATTTTTGTTATGATATAAATGCCGTGTTTTTGTACTAGTCAAGCCACTAAACCCCAGACCAGCATAAACCTGCTGAATTGCTTCTAAATGTCTGATGGTGAAGTGTAATTGAATTAACTGATACTCTCAAATGAATAACACTTAGAGAGATTTTTCACCTCAATATGTTTCATTTTTGCAATCACAGCTTTTTCAGGAATGATAAGATGTAACTGACCATTTTTACATCGGTTTTTATATGAAATGATTATTGAGTGTTAATGACTATTAACTTTTTAGGAGTTAGATATTGACTTTTTAAAAAAAAACTACCTAAACATGTATTTTGAGACAGATACATCCAATTTGCAATGCACAAATTGATGATACATGTATCCCGACTATAAATATTGATTGTGATCCAGTTCATGATCTTATATATAAACTAGGAAAATTGGTTCAAGTAAAACCATGTTGATTTGACTTGTGAATAAATGTATAAACTTGAGAGTACTTAAGAGATCTTTTTTTTCAGGCGTTGCTTTCAAAGCACTTCGACAAACACCCTATCCTTATTCTTAAGGATGTCAAGTTCCAAGAACTTGAAGCCATGATGGACTACATGTACAAGGGTGAAGTGAACATATCACAAGACCAATTGGGAGCCCTTTTGAAAGCAGCAGAGTCATTACAAATAAAAGGTCTTTCCGATAATAGGAAAGGCGAAACTGAAAGAAAAGCTGCCCCGGCTCCACCTCCACCGAAAAGTCCTCAGCCAACAGCGGCATTACCCAAAGTCCAAGGCCTAACAATAGAGCAACGCACGAGAGATGATAGCAGGGAGGGAAGCATGTCACCTGGGCCTCGGAAGAAAAAAAGATTAAGGCGGAAGAGTGAGGAATTAGATAACCATGATGCCTCCAACTCTTCAGAATCTCACAGCCTACCTGCCCAGAACATTCCCTCATCGTTACCTGCCACATCCAGAATGAATGCCGGCGTGCCTGAACCTGTAGAAACCAAATCTGAAATATTAACGAGGCATAAACAAGAAGATATTCCTCAAGTTCCTATTATAAAAGAGAAATTAGAGACCCATACAGAACTGATGCTTGAACCAAAGTCTGAATATGTAGAAGATATGAATGAGGACAGTATTGAGGATTTGACTTTAGATGATGATGATCTTAGTAATATGGAACAAATGGATGATCAGGCTGGTCCTAGTCATGGCAATGCAGGGGAAGGATCGAGTCAAGGTAAAACCAGTATTTCTCTATGAGGAATGTTAGAAATGATTTTTTTAATTCCTGGAAATTTCTTCGAAGTTATGGTACTGTCTATAACTTTATATCTTTTCAAATATTTACAAGCGTATTCAATTTGAGGATGAATTCAATTCTAAATATTTTCACAACAAAGAATGCGTTGAATAACTGTTTTTTTCAATAGGTAACTTATGAGAGTGCAGGTCATCCAGTTTTTTACCTTGAATATAAAGTTGACATGTTAAAAAAATTCTTTACAATTTTGCTACCAATCCTTCATGATGAAATCTTTACAAATTTCTAAAACTTTTTTCATTTACATCTAATAGCTAGAGGCTATTTTATCAAGAGCATTTCATTCAAAAATACAGTAATTTGACTTTCAAATCAGTGCTTAATATGTTGTTACTGGAATGGTGAATTCATATTTTCTACATGAACTCTTGATTTATTAGATTACGAGTGAAAAAAACTACAAAAAGTAAAAAATCAAAATGTGCTAAAATATCTAGTGAATTTGTATTGGGTAATTTTTCAGAAGTTTTTTTTTTCAAATCCGGAAGGCTGCTCCAGATGGAGCAGAAAATGCATTCAAAATCACTATTAGATTTATTTCCCCTACCTTGGAACTGAATTTTTACAGATTCACAATTATCAGCAAATGCGATCTAAACTAATTTCTAATTCTAATAGAATATTGACAGAATATATTAAACCATAATTATGTATGAAATGTAAGTATATAATTGACAATCTTTTGTGCATAGTTAGGGTTTACTATTCTGTCAATTTCCAACAGACTACACTGTATTGATATCTTGACATGGTGGTGACTTTCACTATTAATTAATCATTTTCCATGGTTATTAATTGAAATTACTGAATTCTTTGGAAAATACTTATACTTCATTTTTCTGCAGATTGTGAGAAAGTATTTACTCTACCTAGAATTCTAGGTAGAGTAGTTAAGGTATGCTCTACCTAGAATTCTAGGTAGAGTAATTATGGTACTTTCTATAAAATTCTAATTGGAGTAATAAGGAATTGTTTGAAGATATTTCAGATTTTCAATTAGCACTTATGATGATTATTTCTGAAAGTTTCTCATGTTTGGATATGAATTCAAGTTGGTATTTATGAATAGTTTAGATTGCCTCCATGTTATGCTAAGGTTGTGGATGGAAAGTTTCAATGTGGAGGGAATTTTTATTCATATCAAAGATGGGGGATCCCTTCTAAATACAAGTTTAGTGAAAAATTTCAGGAATCTTAGGGATAAAGTCTGTTCTAATTTTTCTTTATACTGGAAAAGTTCAAATTTTCTTACATCTAGATTTCATGTCGCTGACATTAAATGTACTACATCTTTTAGTGTTTGAGTCATGAGATTCATTTTCGAGAACATTTGAGTTTTTCTGTATATGGAAATTTGTTTCAATTCTGGGAATTTATTTAAAAAATATACTAGTGATAAGGAAAATGTAGAGAACTGAAATCTGCCATTCAGTGACATATTTAAAGCATCGAGTTTTTGTTGAAAGTCGAATTGCTTATTTTTAGGGTTTAACTACAAAATTACTTTCAATTTCAATACTGCATACTTTGATATCAAATATCAATTTCTAATGTATTTTCTTTTATGTTGAAAAATATCCACAAAATGATTTTTTTTTCAAGTTGTGAATTTGACTTTAGGGAATGTGTTGATAATCAGGAAGTCCATAAGTTATATGTGACATCATGCTAAATTTAATAAGTTACTTGGATGCCTTTATAATTTTTTTTTTGATAAAAACCAACAAGGTTGTCATAAAACATACATTGGTTTCTCCGCAGAAATATGGAACTATATTAATAAACTGAAGCTAATACTTTTGCACACATTTTTTCAGACATACTTTTCAGTGTGTAAAACTGATGACGAAGATGAAATGTGGGTAAAAGCTTTTACTTCTCTTTTTTCATTTAGTCCCTTGAAATTGTTTTTTATTCAATGATTATATTTGGAATCCAGTTACACGAATATTAAATTTTTCAAAATAAACTTATTGAATGGTGAAACTACTTTAATTCTCCATTCAATCTGATTTATACAAATTTTTTGGTTCATGTATTTGGATTTTTTTATAATCTCCATTGGCTAATTTTTCCCAATTTTATGTTTATTATTTGATGTATGGGATAGAAATATTCTTTTGAAAGTAACATTTTAGTAAGTAAACAAAGGTTGATCTGCACGTGCTTATATTGATGCATTGATAGTTTTTTCATTTAATTGAAGAATTTGTTCATCCTATAATACTCTTGTTTCAATTCAGTATTGATCTTCAATCATGGAGTTCCTATGCATTCATATTTATTTCAAAAGACGCAGAATTCTAGTTTTGATGTTGCAAAAACATTCAAAATTATAGCAGCCAACTACCTATTGGAAATGCCAGTTATCTAGATAGTGAAATACTCTTGAGGTTATACAAAATCTTATTGAAAACTGCTGGAGCATATGGAATTGTCGAAGGTTGAAAGTGAAAAAATAGAATATTTTATCACAATTATTTTTATTAAAAGCGTTTACAGAGCCAGAAGCAAAATTACACTTGATAGCTTTCACCTTTACAGGGAATATAAAACCATAATCTTCATTGATGAATTTATACTGTCTTGTAGAAATTTTGCATAATTTATCAGTTAATATTACACCATTTTCCGTGTGCTCTGAATCATTTGCTAACCAAAATTATATCAAAGAAAGCTTTTTGATTTGATCAGTTGAGTTTCAACTTCATAAGTTGTCATACTCATTGAGTGGGAGAGGTCTCGATTAGTGACTCGATAATTAATTTGAATTTTTTTGTTCAGAATGCCAGATTTGTTACTCATTGAAAACTTAACATTCAATATGTTGGGTCTGTTTCAGTTTATAGTGGTTAATTTAAAAGTCCATGAAGTTTGATGGCTGCCAGAGTTATGTCAGAGTAACAATAGTTTGCTCAGGTAGAGATATACAAAATTAGTAATGTGATACATTGCCTCAAAAATACAAATGTACAATTATGGGATTAATTTGAAATATTTCATAAAATATGAATAACGATTTACTGACAGTCTGTAATGACTTGATAGTATTTTAGTCTATGTTGACCATGACTATGTATTAACTGTAGCTAGAAAAAATCATGATATGAACAGTTTTGTGAAAATCCTTAACAGTCTACAACTATATAAGAACTAGTTTGGATATTTGACAGAGTGATTAACTTTAATTTGTATATATAATTGCTTACAAAGACAAAGTAATTAGATTTTATTTTGAAAAAACTCGTCTCATCGAATAATCCTCTAGGTTATGTCAATCCACAATCGACAGAACATGTAACTTTTTCAGTGGGAGGTTGGGTATACTACAGATGCTCAGGTGTTGTACAGAGATTAAAGTCTGTAAAAATGGACTACGTTCGTGACATTTTTTATGGAGAAGTTTGTTTTATATGAATGTTTTGAAGCCTGCTGAATCGATCACTTTCTCAAGTTATAAATTTATAATTTGGGACTTCGATTTGGTATGTACTGTTGACTACATTTTGTAAAAAACATAATTTTCCATAGATATGTCACCGATACCGAGGACCTGTTTCTGTATAGATCTGTGTTCAAGAGAATTCACGATACTTCTAAGACGAAATAAACTACTCATAAGGGCATTTGTCTTGCATTTCTGCATATCTAACTAGGGTTAATTATTCATGTCAAAATTCAGATTATGGTTTTCCTTCCACAATACTGTTTTTTATCATTTCTTTTAGGGAATGTTATATTCAATTATGTTATTAAAATACTATCGAGGATGACATTCATGTGATGAAATTTTGTTTTTCATATTTTATGTAGTAGTTCAGAATGTCACTCAATTGTGTTCATTTACAACATACTTTATTGTTGTAAGTACATTTGAAGCAATTTATTGCATTATTGATTAATACTTTATGCCTTTGAAAATGACGACTCTGGGAACTTGTGAACTTTTTTCCATTCAATATTGGGTTTCTGCAACCACTATAGACTGAAACAGACCCCATATGCTTACTGTTGCTGTTTTCTTTAGAATTGAGTAATAATTCTTGTTTTCTGAATGTAAAAATTCTAAACTGGATATTTTTGTCATTGATGGGATTTTACTTTCATTTCCCATTTAATGTTTGTTTTGACCTATTCAAAATTTCCAATTTATGAATTTGTCTATTTGTATCAAAGAAATAAATTTAATTATGAGCATTTCCTGATGATACAGAAATTTTTATAAAAAGATCAGTTTGTTGGTAACAGGATCAAATTATCTTATTAATTTTTTTGCTAACGTTTCTAATTTCATTAAATTCTTCATATCTCTGTTAACAATGAATTTTATGAAACATACCTGCCAGAAACGTTGTCGTGTTTGAACAATGTGAAAAGTAATAGTGAAATACTCCTGTGTTTCCTGTTTCCATGTTGAAAGTAACTAGATTAAAAAATCATGTTATTTTTTTAATTCAGTGTTGCAACATGTAAACATTTTTTTCAGAGTAATTTTATTATTACTGCATTAAAAGATAACGGTTATAAAGCTTGGCAGGTATGCTTAATAAAATTCATCATTACAGAGCCCTGAAGAATTCATTTGAATATGAAACGTTGGCAGGAAAATAATTGTTTTTCTAACATAATTTGATCCTGCTACTCAACAAACTTTTCTTGATTCCTTGTTCGAATCACTAAGACATTTGATACAGATATTGTTGAAAATATAGTCTGTTTGATGCTGCTAGCATAATGAATTATTTAAATGAAATGAATAAAAACACTTTTGTCTAAATACCACTGAAAAATTTTATTTATATGACTGGTTTCGGGTTTGATCCAATTATCAAGTATAAAACTGAAATCTGAATTTTGAAACATCAATTTTATAGAATTTTCATCGATGTTTCAAAATTCAGATTTCAGTTTTATACTTGATAATGGGATCAAACCCGATACCAGTCCTATAAATGAAATTTTCCAGTGGTATTTAGAGAAGTGTTTTTATTCATTTCATTTAAGTGATCATGAATTACCATAAAGTAAAGAAGTCATCAATCACACAATGAATTATGCAAAAAGTATATTTCTTTCAGACTTCTAAATCCAAATTATGGTTTACTATCCTCTGTTCATGTCGAAGAGCTAGTGTACAATTATTATGCTTCCAGGTCTGTAAGAACCTGTTGAAAATATCTTCCAAAGATACTTCCTTGGTGATTTTTGAACTGACAATTCTATATGTTTCCCCAATATTTGAATTTTACTATTTTGTTGGTATTTTCTCAATTACATTTCCATTAAGTTCGACTTTTGTTTCTTTAATTTTGAATTTGTAAGATTGAATTTATTAGTTGAAAATTTTTAATTTTCTTCAAATTATCTCGACTTGGTTTTCAATACATTTTGTCCAATACTTGACATTAAATTAATCATTTCTGTAGTTCCTTATTTTACTGTGGCTATTTGGTGGTTTGAGCAAAGCTGTTGGATGTTTTTTTAGATGAGACCACCTTCAACTTTCTAAAACTACCAAAAAGCCACAATCGTGAATTATGGGCACCAGAATTTGACATACAACCACTATCAGATCAGTTGGGGGGCCGTCTTCGAAAATATTCCGCTAAAGTTGTTTCAGCTGCTCTAGATGCCATCCTAAATGGCGGTGTTACAGTGACACAAGCTTCTTTAGATTATAAAATCAAACGTACTAGTTTACAATTCTATTTGAAAAAATTGAACATCAAGTTGAAACCTCAGGTGTGATTTTCTATGTACATTGAAATGAAGTTCTTCTATTGAGGATATATTGGATAGGATATTGAAAACCTTTTTTTTTGTTTTGCATGTACTTGATGGAGGTGCATATTTTTTTGTCATTAATTTGACTTCAATTGGCATGTAGGAAAGAAAATTTGAAGTAATTTGAATAATTGGCTATATATAGCTGTCTGACTTAAAATTGAAAATTTTGGCTTGAAATGAACATTGCGAAAGTTATACACTGCAATTTTAAAAATATATCATATGTTCTGCTAAGTAAATTAGAATCAATAATTTTACTTCCGAGACATTTATCTTTATGCATCAATTATGATTGGTCATAATTATTTTGGTATTCGAAACACTGTGTCTATGAGACTCTACTTGTATTGTATACATCGATGAATTGAATGGGGAAATTGTTATATACCCAGTGTTACTTATATATTAGTTAACGTTTCTTGTGGAAGGTGATGGTTGAATCATGATTGGTCATGATATTCTAAGTGGAGCTGTTGAAACAGTATTTTTGGGATATGAGCTTACTTTGTATAGACAACATGAACCTTGGACTATTTTCCTTGTAAATTTTATTATCAGCTAACAGATTTTCATGATTTTTATATTTTGTTTTGTAAATTGAGGGATGGAGTTATGATTGGTCATGACTGGTACCTGAAAGATATTTTCCCAATTCATTGTATCATGATCGGTCATGATTGATGGTTTTGAGATTGTGTTCAATTAGGAAAATGCAATAACTATTGGACAATAATATTCTTATTAGATACGATCCTGATTATTTACATATTAAGCCCACTAGGAGATAACAAAAAGGATGTATATGTTCTTCCTCTGCATTGTCTTATTTTATATTGAGATATTGACTTCAACTGATATTTAATAACTACGTTTTCTTAACAAAAGTTGAAAGGGTTGACATCATCTGGGTTGGTTGTCCCCATCTCTGATAACTTTTTGAAATTCCATCCATATTCGATTAAAACTCTACTGGAAGGGGAAGTTTTATTCTGAAAAATTGAAACATTTTAGTTGAATTTAATAAAATTCACACATCTTGTTAGCAATAGTTCGATGTAAATTTAATGTAAATGGAGAGGTGGGGTCGTGATTGGTCATGAACCCGAAATATGATCGAACTTTCATTGTACTGTCTTTGTATTAATTTGTATTTCATGTATTGATGATCTTTTTTTAACGAAAAGTCAAAACGGAAGTGGTTGAAATAACATCTCCAAACTCATTGCCAGAAAAATCTAAGAAGAAATATGAAGCGGTTTACAAGGCTTTCATGGATTGGCGAAGCTTCCAGAATATCTATACATTCTCTGAGTCAGTTGTTTTAACTTATTTTGAACAGTTATCTAAGAAATATAAGTCTTCCTCATTATGGGCAACATATTCGATGTTGAGAAGTACTCTCAATATTAATGATGGTATCAATATAGAGCATTATCCTAGATTGCGGGCATTTTTAAAACGCAACTCTAAAGGCTATAAGGCAAAAAAAGCTAAACTGTTTACCCCAGAAGAAGTAAATAGATTCACACATGAAGCACCTGACAATAAATATCTTGCAATGAAGGTAAACATTTGGAAAGTACCAACTTCTGATTGCATAACATGAGTCTTTTTTAAGGTGGCATTGATTTTTGGAGTCCTGGGGGCTTGTCGTGCAACTGAACTTCATTTATTGACAATTGAAGACATTCAAGACCTTGGATCAGCTCTATCAGTCAATGTTTCAGATCTTAAATCAAAAGGTTTTCGAAAATTCGTGATAACGGATTTTTTTTATAAAATTTGCAAAAGGTATATGGACCTACGTCCACAACCTGCATGCCGGGCATTTTTTCTACAATATCGAAACGGTGCGTGTAGTAGACAAAAAATTGGTATAAATAAATTTGGAGCAATGGGGAAACAAATAGCAACTTTTTTAAAACTTCCAAATCCAGAGATGTATACAGGACACAGCTTTCGGAGTCGTTATCCTATTTCTACCTCACTAATGTCTGAAACATCCACCTATTAACGTATATGTATCAAGAAATACATTTTGTACATAAAATGAAGTATTGATACTTTTTTGAAAAATATCACTTCCATCAATAACTAAATGTAAATAATTTTCATTTTCTGTCAGTTATACAATAGTTCAATTATGAACAAGGCAGTACATAGAAGAGTTGAATGTATTTCCTGGCTCTTGGCCGAAATTTGTAATAGAGTTAGAAACGGTTTTATTCAAATACAAATTCTTGAGGAACGTTAATTGCATGTGTTGTTTCTTCAGAGGAAATTTAAAGTATTTTGACAGTTCAATGACCACAATAGATGTGTACATATACATTCAGAGTAAATGTCACTGGAAACTGTAAAAGAGCTGCAATAAAATTTTTGAAATGTTGATTTTCACCATTAGAAAATTTCGCATATTTTGAAAATTTCGAAAACGGCCTTTGAAAATTTTGGGTGTCAAATTTGTGGTCTCGGTATTCTAATGGACAATTACAGGTTTCGGTGGTTGGCATATGGGTAATCAAAGTCAAGATGAAGTATTTTTGGCCGCACAAGAGGCCGTAGGTGCTCATCGAGATTCACAAGGTAAGATTTTTGTTTCAATTGTAAAAACTTGCCTAATATCTTGAGTCAATACAGCTTTGTTTTTAAACCATGTAAATGTATGTTTGAGTCAAGTCGATAGGCAAGTTTAAAACGCTTGCACATGGTATGGCAAAATTTAACACCTGAGTTTCCAGTCTCTGGTTCTTTAACATTTATTTTTTCTAACTTGGTAGCATTTGGTTTCCTTATATATTGCTTTCCACTTTTTAGCTTTTTTGGTGTAGTGGCTCGTAGTTTAGTTTTTCCAACATACCCTTCTCCCTCCATGAAGAAATCGTCGCCAGTGTCTTGATCCGATTTGGAGGTTGCCTTCGTATTTTCATTTTTTTCAATGGATTTATATAAGAATGTTATTCAGAAAATACTATGCATTTATACTGTTGAATGCTCATTACATTTATACTGGTAAATGTACTTGAATTATGTTAAACCGATGGCATTCATACTGTTGAATGTGGTACTCATTCATACTCGTAATAACTTAATATTTTGGAAATATATTCGTGGTAATTATGGTGTAGCTGTGGTTTTCCATTTCCAGAATGCCATTGGTTTTCAAGATGTCGTCAAAAGGTAAGAAGGGGGAGAACGGAATTGAAACCAAACTGTTTCCTTAGTGCTGTTTTGGTTTGTTGATTGTTTTTCTAGGGTGACTCTATCTGTTACAGGTACAAACTGTTTTATTACCTTACATAAAATGGTTTGTAGTTGTTGGGATACGTTATCTAAGAAAATTCAAAATTATTGGGATTACTGGAATACATTTTGGTTTTAAACCGGAGACTGTGATGTCTCGGTGTTTTTCAATTGCAGATTCTCCCGCTTGTTACAATTTTTTTTATTTTGTATCATTTACCCACCTCCAAATTTGAAAATTTTGCCATACAATTGCAAGCGCTTTGTGTTTGGGTTTTGTAATTTGGCCTGGACAAACGATATTCCACGTTGTTTCTAATATATGTGGTGATGAATTGTTTTATATGTTGATTAGTCGATGTTGAGTATCGTTTGTACTGCGTCCCGTACTTATAATGTTGGCCTTCTATCTCATGTATCTTTCAACTTTTGGTCTAACATGTATTTTATCATGTGTGCATGCTTTACAGTTGTATACATATTGTACATTGTTTTTATTTGTTTATACATGGCTAAATTTAGTCTTGTATTTTGTACTGTGTTCATCATTGCTCTGAATCTATTATATAATTGATAGATTTTGTAGTATTGATCAGATGATTGAAATATTGGTGGTTCTTTCCTTACCAATATTTTTTATCATTTCATGTGTAAGCATTGCATGGTTTCATGTAATGCAAGTTAATGCATTACATACGTCTGTATGTAATGAAATTTATGCGCCTCTTGATATCATCGAAATGCCAGTGAAAAATAATTTTGAAATATCAAAATTATTTGCCGACTACATTATTGTTTAGGGTTTTGCAGTGTTACATGTGAATTTCAAGTTGAAATTCATATAAAAAATCATTACTCGACTAGTGAGATTCTATTGATCAGCATTTCTGATCAATATTTGTGATTGTGTTGCGAGCTGAACTCTCTACAAATAATATTGAAGGAAACGTTCTTATTACCATTAGTTTATTAACGTTGGCTAATAAGACTTCTGGAAAATATTTGCCATGATGCTCCATTCTGTGTACTGTTGAACTTGTCAACTCGATGGCTATTTTTTTTAGTGAAAATTGTGTTAAAAACTATTATTTCATGTAGCTATGAGTCTATTTAGTCACATAGTGAGGTATTCTTGATCATAACTATTGCTATTTCAGAAAAATATTAGTTATCTGCTGAAAATACTCTGGATTGAAACATTTGTAGCTGTAAAAGTTTTTTGCAGTGAGTTGAAATTCATGTGTTTGATTATATCTTCCGATTAGAACAATTTCGATTGAAATTGTTCTTGTTGAAAGATATGATACTTACTACCTATTTATTAGATTTTGTCTATTCTATGTAATTTTACATGGAAAAGTGTTTGAAAAATAGGTTTTTTCCAAGTAATAGATGATTTTCTGTTATTGCCCTTGTAGCTGTATACGTATTCGTATACAGTGAGGTAATTACAATTTATTCATCCCAATGAATAAATTGAAAATATTCATTTTCTGCCATTGCACTTGTAGCTGTATATGTATTTGTATACAGTGAGGTAATTTGAATTTATGCATTCCAATGGATGCATTTAAATATTTTGTAGCTGTATATGTTCTACAGTGAGGTATAATTAATAATTTCAGGTATTGTAGGTCTTTAAATTTGAAAAACTTGTAATTGTAGCTGTATACATTTTGTGTGCAGTGAGGTATTATTTCAACTAATCTTAAAAAAGAACATTTTTTTGAGAAATATTTTCCTTTTTTTAGTAGTACAATTGAAGATGACGCCAAAACACTAAATTGAAAGTGTGATCTTTGCATTCCACTTTCGAGTTAGTTTTTTTGTGTGAACTTATTCTATCACGTTCTACTTATGATAAAATACGTTCTTTGGAATTTAGTAATCGAGCTTGATTTTGAGGCGACCACCGAAACCTCCAATCAAACTCTTTTGCCAAATGTCCGCTAATCGCCAATATTTTCAACTTCTCCGTCGAAAACTTTTGTAAAGAAACTGGCGTCTTGTTAATGGACTTTGATCGAGTAGAGGGCCAAACAAACTCGTCAACATTTTCAATTTCAGTAATTGGTTCTATTTGAAATACATTTATTTCATTGGGAACTATATATTTTGTATATTGTTCCAAGCTTATTATACTTCATTAATATGATTGGAGGAATATACAGAATACTGGAATTGATTAGGTTACTATAACAAATGATTGACCTATTTATGGCTTTCTATGACTGATTTCATTACAGAACCGTGGACTCACAAGTGTTTTCGATGTGGAAGATATTATTCAGTACAGTACACTTTGGAAAGACATTTTTGATACGAATGTGAGTTATCTTGTGACATTTGTCCAAGAAAGTTTTCAATACGAGATATTCTTGAGTTCATGAAAAACTGTTCAATCACTCTTATATACAGTTTATTACATTTTTCCAAATTTTTCGGGAATCTTGAAAAAATAACAGGTGTCATTTATATGATATTTGTTATTATCGTAGTAAGCAGGTCGATTATTTCCTATAAAGAAATGATCGGACTGGGTGGAGGTGGGCCCATTTTTAATTTTTTTTATTTCGAGTTTGAATTAGAAAATTTCAGTAGTCAACTTATCATTGGAAAAATATGGCGTCGGATGCTCCATTTTATCCTTCATCCCATTTCCCACATTACCCTGTCATTTATATCTAGGCTGTGTTGAAACTGAGTTATTATTTTCGAGTTATTTTTTCACTACTTTCCAACTTTCCCACATAGTTATGAGTAGTCTTCTTTCCTCAAGAAGATATTCTGAAAATAATGAATACTTATTTTTGTCACAGTCTGATATAGTCCTATTAATGATCTCCTTTTATGTTCCTAACAAAATCATAATTGGCGAAGCTGTCCATCCATGGTCCCCAGTTGGTTCGCTGCGTCAATAACTTGTGAGTATATTTTTTATCATTTACCAAATTGATTTGTTATGTGACAAGTGGTTTCACTCACATCAACTTGTTCATTTTAAAATTATTCAATCACATTGTCACAAATATTTCAGTAGATTTTTGTGCTTTTTCGAGTTTTGTTGAAATTGAGCAAATTTTTAAGTGAGTGATATCTCACGAATGCTTCCAAATTTGAAGCCTGTTCAATTGCTCTTATCTCAACTTTCTGAACTCTTCACTCGTTCTGCAAAATACGAGATTTCTGTAATTGACCACAATTCCATGCAAAATTTTCAGGGAGTCCTATTATTTTTTGAACACGTATGATTTCATTTAGTCCTGATAAAATAATTGGTTTGCTTTGAACTCTGTAGTAAGTGGTGCGCGTGAGTGAACGAAAACCGGCCATTGAATAATTTGACAAAAAAAAATTACATCATCCTTGTTTAATATACAAATTTAAAGAAACGTTTTGGCAACTTACCTTTGATATCACTGGTGTTAATCCCAACACCTAACTGTTGTTTTTAACACCTCGACATGTGTTTCAATCACCAAGTAATCATCTTCAAGAGGAAGTTTAATTTTCCTTGGTGATAGAAATACGTGTCGAGGTGTTAAAAACGGTTTGGTGTTGAAAATAAACTTCAGTAAGTAATATTCATTACTACACCAAAGGTTCCAAACAGATCACAAGATCTTACTTTGGGTTTTTGTTGCCACTACTAGGTTTTCACATAACACGTGGTGGCATATGACTTCAACAAGACTAATTTTTTACATGAGGCCTGGAAAAAATCATACATTTTAAAGGTGTTCTAGGAATTCCCAAAAATTTGGCATGTCTTGCAATCAATAATATACTAGTGACAAACATCGGAAATCGTGAATATTTTGCGCCTCTCTGGTTTTTTTGAAGCTGGTCCTCAATATTCCTTCTCTATTGTTACAGACTAACCATTTCCTGCTTATTCACCTTCGTGTGTGGCAAAAGAAGACAAATGAATTATTTATTTTACAATGTTATTGACAAAAAAATGATAATATATATTTTTCTCAAACCCATCGACTTTAATTTGAATACTCTCCCCTTAACGTGTTTTGATTTGTCCTAAGTTGATGTTTGGTCAAGAAAAGAAAAATGGAATAGAACATTGGAATCGCTAGTACAGCAGTATTTATTTCCAGGCGGTGGAAATTGGTTTCTGCAACATATTGATCCTGATTCAACAAATGGTTTTCCTTGCTCCAACTGCGGGAAAATCTACAAACATCGAGGAAACATGCGCAGACATATGGTTTATGAGTGTGGAAAAATGGCTCGATTCCAGTGTTCTTTCTGTGACAGAAAATTTCATCAACAATCGAATCTAAAGAGACATTTCGATAACAAACATACTATGCTACCAAAATTTAGCA